TCTTTCAGTGGGGGCTTCAGGCAAAGTGGGGTTAAGTGTCTTGCCCAAGGACGCAACATTATATTATACAATATAAGGATGCATGATTGTAATGCCTTGTGTGATTCTGTCCAGCGTTTTGAGTTCCCTTGTGTATGAATTGTGCGATACAAATAAACTTGTGAGTCTTGTATTCAGTCCTATATTCAGTACTATACTCTCAGTTGTCCCATACTTCTGTAGTATCCATGTTCTTTGCAGCACATGCCCTGGTTTAAACAGAGCGAAGCTAATCCCAGCTAAACCAACATGTTTGCAACACCTATGAGCCAGGCATGAGCTGAACAACTGGGTCTCATTCAGGAAAGTAAATCAATCGTGAAAATGAAAGCGCACGAAACAGTAGCTCAAATGGCTTTTCCTTTAAAGTTGCCCTAGTATTTTGCTAATCAGCTTTTGGAATAATTGTCCATTGCTTCTTAATCTAATTCAGATGTTGCGTGCCTTGACCTTTCACAAAACAAGAGACTTTGTGCAAGACTATTCTCTGTGGTTACTGTATGCACACAGTAACATTCATACATCTAGAGACAGACATATAGAGTCGTTGCCCTAATTTACAAGGATTTAGAGCCATGACAAGATGAAAACCACAACAATATGCATGTAATAAAAATAAGGCACGTTTATTTGTATAGCACAATTCATACACAAGGCAATTCAAAGTGCTGAACAAAATAAGATAGAAATAATCGCATAAAAAGATAATAAATAATCACAGTACACAAAAAAGAACAAAGATAAATTCCCTCAGTTGTATGCACAGCTAAACAGAACTGTGTTTAAATATTATATATATAAGTATTGTCAGATAAGAAGAATGTCATACATTTTCAGGAAGACTTTTCCGGATTTTGGCTGCATATATCTGAAGTATTGCCTCCCCATGTTTAGTTCTGACTCTGGGCACTAACAAGAGTCCAGTCCCTGTGCTCCTCAGAGTCCGGGCTGGTTCATATGGGACTAACATGTCACTAATATATTTTGGTGCGAGGCCATGGAGAGACTTGTACACAAGCAGAGCTGTTTTAAAGTCTATTCTCTGAGCCACAGGAAGCCAGTGCAGAGACCTGAGGACTGGACTAATGTGGTCGTACTTCCTGGTTCTAGTCAGGACTCGAGCTGCTGCGTTTTGAATGTACTGCAGCTGTTTTAGTAGGCTTGAGTGTGCAATTACAGTAGTCTAACTTACTGGAGACAAATGCATGGATAAGAACAAGAATCCTATAGTTCCTAGCTCTCAAAACAGTTTGGTTATAAGCCTAGTACTAGTTTCACATATATACATTTTTTGGATCTTTAATACCAGGCCTTGCTCTCAGTATATAGAAGATTATGAAGAAGATACAATGTCGGGTCTGAAAATGTTACTTGAACAAGACTCTTTCTATTGGGACAAACAAAATGTATCTATGGGAAAAAATTGTTGGTACTCCAGGTTTAACTTAATTGAACCGCAGCAAGGTGAAATAAAGAGTTTATTGAATGATATTTCAGTCACAGAGTGAGCTGGAGATGAGATCGGCTGGTGGTGAGAGAGTGCGGGCTGATCTACACATCGCCCAGAGGAGAGGGAAGGTTAAAAGTGTACGTATGCTGCATCAAACTGTGATTGATGTGAAAGCCTTAAGAGGCGGCTGGATGGAGGTGAGTGGCGTGGTACGTGGACCAAAGTTGAGGCACGGTTCGGTCTCAAACTGAGAAAATGTGGCAGGAAATAAGAAACTGAATGAAATAATGTCTGAAATGTGCTTAGAGTTTACACAGTGATGAAAAGGAATATTCAAGAATCAATTTGTTTAAGGAAGAGGTGTCAAACACATTTTGGTCAGGGCCAAAAGAATACATTAGAATTGATTTTTACATTGTGAAGGTATTTTGGCATTACTTTTATTTGTTGTGAAATGTGCTTATTATTTGGAGTACAATGCGAGACGAGAGCGTGTTGTGTGTGTGTGTGTGAGTGGAGGAGCAGACGTGCGTGTGTGTGTGTTTGTGAGTGGAGGAGCAGACGTGCGTGTGTGTGTGTTTGTGAGTGGAGGAGCAGACGTGCGTGTGTGTGTGTCTGTGAGTGGAGGAGCAGACGTGCGTGTGTGTGTGTCTGTGAGTGGAGGAGCAGACGTGCGTGTGTGTGTGTCTGTGAGTGGAGGAGCAGACGTGCGTGTGTGTGTGTCTGTGAGTGGAGGAGCAGACGTGCGTGTGTGTGTGTCTGTGAGTGGAGGAGCAGACGTGCGTGTGTGTGTGTCTGTGAGTGGAGGAGCAGACGTGCGTGTGTGTGTGTCTGTGAGTGGAGGAGCAGACGTGCGTGTGTGTGTGTCTGTGAGTGGAGGAGCAGACGTGCGTGTGTGTGTTTGTGAGTGGAGGAGCAGACGTGCGTGTGTGTGTCTGTGAGTGGAGGAGCAGACAAGTGTGTGCGCTGCTATTGCCACAGTGAATTAGAATTCATCAGAAGTCACCATTTCTTAGTGCATTTTATGAAAAAATGTCCATGCTGAAGGGGAGCGCTTTGCGTGTATTGGCTGACACTTCAAACTTTTTTAATTGTTCTGGTATCTCTTCGCACGCGGGCACCATCGGCGAATGCCATTTGCCGATGATCGCTGGTGGTAAACAAGGCAAACATCGGCCGATAAGGAGGTTCAGCCGATGTGTCGGTGCATCCCAACTTTTTATATACATGTTGGGTTAAAATTTGCAGTTGTATATCTCGGAAAATAATGTATGTATAAGTCGTCATAGTCGTCCATCACCATCAATGCTCTGATTTGATGTACAGATATTAAGGATCTTAAGAAGTTTCCGGGGATCCTAGTGTTAACAGACTTATTAAAAAATAAAAACTACCCAACTAAACATTATCATAAATCCTACAGGCCTATTAGCGAGTAAGACAGATAGATTATACTGTTGGTGTGCACATTTTTACTATATTATGAAAAACACATGACCTATGAAGACGTCTGCTCGATCTCCAGAAAAACGGTTTGTCCTGCTGTGAAGACGTCCAATTTTACCGCTGATATTTGACATCTGTGGGTGTGTGGGTTACAGTTTTAATATCAGTGAAGTAATATCTCGCAGTCTTAAACCAAACGGCGGGGCAATTTACGGTTATTAGAAGAAAGCCATGTCAATTTTGGGGATTTTCTAAGATGTAGGAGCACTAATAACACAACTAGTGTGTTTTCAGTTTATTGTTTTAACCCCTAGTTTTTTAAATTATAGGCCTTCACCAAATGGTTGGGATTCAGTTTGAAGGAAAAAGTGCCTAAAACCAAGTGAGATGCCCCAAAGAGGTAGATTTCAGTTCCATGCATGCTTAAAGAAGGTTCCAGGCTCGTTAAAATAAGTTCTGTTTAGCTGTGCATACAACTGAGGGATTTTATCTTCACTTCTTTTAATGGACTGAGATTATTTAGGATTGTAATGCCTTGTCTGACTGTCTCAATCTTGTTTTGTTCAGCACTTTGAGTTGCTTTGTGTATGAACTGTGCTGTACAAATAAACTTGCCTTGCTTAAAGTACAGTAGATATAGTGACTCAAAAGGTGATCTACCAAATGATTGAGGAAACCATTAAAGGCTTAAAATAATGAAGGCAAAATACCATCTCAAAATGATATACAAAATGAACCAACAAAACTAATGCAAATACATGAAATAGTTGGAGGTATAGAAATGAGAGGTTATAAAATCCGTATCAACCGACCCCTTTGATTTCCTCTGGCCCGGCCCCAGTGAAACTCTACTGCACGGTCAGATCCGCTGGTATTTAATGAAGGCGTTCTGAAGCTGCAGACTCACCCTGAAGCAGTCTTCGGTACAACACTGTCTATATATGAAAGCCACATACATCACATTGACCAACACATGCACAGCAGCAGTGCTTCTCACTTTCATATGATTAGCTTTGCTCCGGGCCTGTCAGGTGACTTTGAACTGCGAGATATGTGGATCCTGTGGTTTCTCTGCATGAACACGAGCCGTCTATTTACTGTACGTCTAATCTGAGTCTGAAGGGAATCAATCCTGAAATCATGTATTATAAGTTTCTTTGGGTCATGGCTTTGTACATTCGCTCTGGGGAAGGAGCCAGAATTATGCATCATGAAGGACGGTATTTAGAGGTTAAAAGTGAAAATTTAAGATTAATTCGAAGAAGAATGTTTTTTTTTATAACACTGCAAAAAGAGATTAAAAATAAGTCCAAAATTGCTCAAATTTGACAAGAAGTATCTTAATTTGAAAACATTTTGAATGCCTTCAAACAAGATTTCTAGAAATAAGACTAAATAGCTTTGTCCCATTGGAAAATCTTTCAGTATATACACAAATTAGGTCAAAAATCACTCAATTCAAGCAATTACTACCTCATATTTGATCATTTTTGCAGTGAAAGTAAAGTTGTTTTGTCTATATATAGAGGTTGCAGGTTCTGAGAGACTTTAAAACGGTTAAGCCAGTTTCATTTCATTTTGTGGAAACCGTCTGACATCAAAACATTATGATTCGTTTTCTCCACAGAAGGCGGGCACCTTTTTTGCCTTGACCAATTTCTGCCGTTTTGTCCTGACGTATAAGCAGGAAAATAATATCTTTCTCCTGGATAAAACTCTCCACACTTTCTCTTTGTTCTGGCTTTAACCTTTTCAAACACAGAATGTATGGCTTGGTCTACATTGATGACTTTATTCACTGTTTTATTGAACTACAAACAGGCTCTGATTGGCCGAATATACTTCCTGGTTCTCGGAGTTGTCTGCATTTCTTTGACGTTTGACCAAGTGGCTGGAGTGAAATGAAAGTGAGCGGAGGCAGTAGGTGATTTAAAGAGTTTGTTTTAAAAGTGTAAAAGGCCTCAACAACAGGCAGCTCGCAAATCACAGTCGTATTAATAAACTGTAAATGCTTGTACCGAGTGTGACAAATTTTGCTAGAGTGTGTTCTTGGCAGGTACAGTACCTTGAGGTTTGGATGGCAGGAGCTCTTCGCGGCTGAAGAGTGGACCGGGTTGTCCAGCATCCAGTTGTTGGCTGCAGTTTTTTCTATTGGCTTCATGACTGACTTTTTTCCTTGTATTTAGATTTCACAGTATTATATGATGTTCCTGTTGAACAAGAGAAAAGATATAACATGTTACTACTGAGGTTTGTATGTTTCGTTCTTGATATCATATGGATTGATTTCACACTCGTTCCTTGCTTACTTTTTTATTGTAGCCCATACATATCCATCCATCCATGTATTATTAAAACCTGAGTGTGGATATATGCAGTAATCATCCTCAGCTGCTCAGTCACACACCTGTGCTCCTTATGGCTGCATTTCAACAGAGCCTCTCAGTTCTCTGCAGGTCAAGCTTCTGTTTGAGCAGCAACCCACCTCCTCCCCATCACTGCCTCTTCAGAGGAGTATCATGTCGTAACTTTGGCTCAGATTTCTTCTCCACCAGCGTCTAGGCCCAGGGGGGTTTGCGAGCTCATAATTTCTATTCAACTCCCTTCTGCATAAGTCATGAAGTATTCCTGCCGAGGTCTAATCGCCACGAGATTCATGAACATTTAATTTCATGTTCGTAAGTAAATATATTAGCCCTCAATCTACAGGTGTCTATTAATGCAATATTGACAATGAATATATTCTAATGCAATCTTTCTTGTCCAGGGTATTGCAGGGGGGCCGCGAGAGGTCATAACAATATAATATAAAGTTATATATTATTATTTTATGTTAAATTAATAATATTTTGTTTGAAAAAATAAAATATTTGTGTTAATTATTGAAATTAAATAATAATAATTGGAATATTGTAATAATAAATTGTAATCATTTTTTGTATTACAAAATGGGGTGCGTCATTTACATGTTTGTAGCAGAGGCTATTTCCCCAAATAAAATTACGAGAAGAGCCTATTTTTAACGTTGTCTTCTTGGTTTGTATTTCGGGGGCCCGCACAGACCCGTCAGATTTTTATGGGGGTCGCGGTGTTACTGACTTTGGGAATGGCTGTTCTAGTCTTTCCAGATTGAACTTGTACTACAGCCTGAGTCCTGACTCTACAGCCTGAGTCCTGGATCTACAGCCTGAGTCCTGGATCTACAGCCTGAGTCCTGACTCTACAGCCTGAGTCCTGACTCTACAGCCTGAGTCCTGGATCTACAGCCTGAGTCCTGACTCTACAGCCTGAGTCCTGGATCTACAGCCTGAGTCTTGAATCTACAGCCTGAGTCCTGGATCTACAGCCTGAGTCCTGACTCTACAGCCTGAGTCCTGGATCTACAGCCTGAGTCCTGACTCTACAGCCTGAGTCCTGGATCTACAGCCTGAGTCCTGGATCTAAAGCCTGAGTCCTGGATCTACAGCCTGAGTCCTGGATCTACAGCCTGAGTCCTGGATCTACAGCCTGAGTCCTGGATCTACAGCCTGAGTCCTGGATCTAGAGCCTCAGTCCTGGATCTAAAGCCTGAGTCCTGGATCTACAGCCTGAGTCCTGGATCTAGAGCCTCAGTCCTGGATCTAGAGCCTGAGTTCTGGATCTACAGCCTGAGTCCTGGATCTAAAGCCTGAGTCCTGGATCTACAGCCTGAGTCCTGGATCTACAGCCTGAGTCCTGGATCTACAGCCTGAGTCCTGGATCTACAGCCTGAGTCCTGGATCTACAGCCTGAGTCCTGGATCTACAGCCTGAGTCCTGGATCTACAGCCTGAGTCCTGGATCTAGAGCCTCAGTCCTGGATCTAAAGCCTGAGTCCTGGATCTACAGCCTGAGTCCAGGATCTAGAGCCTCAGTCCTGGATCTAGAGCCTGAGTTCTGGATCTACAGTCTGAGTCCTGGATCTACAGCCTGAGTCCTGGATCTACAGCCTGAGTCCTGGATCTAGAGCCTCAGTCCTGGATCTACAACCTGAGTCTTGAATCTAGAGCCTCAGTCCTGGATCTACAGCCTGAGTCCTGGATCTAAAGCCTCAGTCCTGGATCTACAGCCTCAGTCCTGGATCTACAGCCTGAGTCCTGGATCTAAAGCCTCAGTCCTGGATCTACAGCCTGTGTCCTGGATCTACAGCCTGTGTCCTGGATCTAAAGCCTCAGTCCTGGATCTACAGCCTGAGTCCTGGATCTAAAGCCTCAGTCCTGGAACTACAGCCTGAGTCGTGGTTCTACAGCCTGAGTCCTGGATCTAAAACCTGAGTCCTGGATCTACAGCCTGAGTCCTGGATCTAAAGCCTCAGTCCTGGATCTACAGCCTGAGTCCTGGATCTAAAGCCTGAGTCCTGGATCTACAGCCTGAGTCCTGGATCTAAAGACTGAGTCCTGGATCTACAGCCTGAGTCCTGGATCTAAAGCCTGAGTCCTGGATCTACAGCCTGAGTCCTGGATCTACAACCTAAGTCCTGGATCTAAAGCCTCAGTCCTGGATCTAAAGCCTCAGTCCTGGATCTAAAGCCTCAGTCCTGGATCTAGAGCCTGAGTCCTGGATCTAAAGCCTGAGTCCTGGATCTACAGCCTGAGTCCTGGATCTACAGCCTGAGTCCTGGATCTACAACCTAAGTCCTGGATCTAAAGCCTCAGTCCTGGATCTAAAGCCTCAGTCCTGGATCTAAAGCCTCAGTCCTGGATCTAGAGCCTGAGTCCTGGATCTACAGCCTGAGTCCTGGATCTAAAGCCTCAGTCCTGGATCTACAGCCTGCGTCTTGGATCTAAAGCCTGAGTCCTGGATCTACAGCCTCAGTCCTGGGTCTACAGCCTCAGTCCTGGATCTACAGCCTGAGTCCTGGATCTACAGCCTCTCTATCCGTGGGAGCGGATCCAAAGTGGGCCTCCCCAAGGTTTCTCACGTTTTCCCCACTGGATTATTTTGTAGTCGTTACTTGCAGATGCAGGAGGGTCTAAGGCAGGGGTTAAAGCAAAAAAAAAAAAATGGACTGAAAATTTTTGCATGGAAATTTATCACATGTAAATCACAGTAATATGCAAGACCAAGTTATATTTTTAATTACAATAAATTATTGTATAATAGATTGTATATTGCAGCCATTCCCAAACTCAGTAACACCGAGGCCCCCTTAAAAATCTGACGGGTCTGCGTGGCCCCCCAAAATAATAACCAAGAAGACAACATTAAGAATAGGCTCTTCTGGTTATTTTATTTTGGGGAAATAGCCTCTGCTACAAACATTGTAATACAAAAATGATTACAGTGGATTATTCAAGTCAAATAATGAACACAAATATTTTAATATTACAAACAAAACATTATAAATTTAACATTAAATAATAATATTTTTTTTTTTTTTTTTTTTTATGACCTCCCGCGGCCCCCCTGCAGTACCCACTTTGGGAGACACTGGTATATTGAATACAGCTCAAATGAATTCTTCAAAGATATACAGTGTATTTTGATATGAAATATAAGTGGATCAAGCAACGAGTCCACTTTTTGACAGAATATTAGTGAGAGTAGCTTTACTTGAGGCGATATGGAGCGTCAACACTTTGGCTCTGTCCTCGTCAAAATATCGCAAAAGGACGATACAATTCTGTCCACATTTGTTTGTGGACACGTCAATATTTAAGAAAAAGGTTTCCCTATCAAGTTTGAGTGCACAGTGCACTTCGATCAACTGCAAATGATTTAAATAAATGTACCAGCGGTAGTGATATTCTGAACGTTATTTTCTGCGATAAAGCCACAGACACGGTCCGCCAGAGCAAGCCTAGTGTCAGTTGTTGCTGATGCACCAGGTAAAGATGAAGTGTGGGAAAGTGCACAAACAGCTGCCTTGTGCGCAGTTTTGAGCTGGTGGCGAATCAAAACTTTTTTTCTCATTACTCCCATATATGCAATTTTTTATGGCAAAGTACGCACAAGCACCGGCCACTTTCATCTTTTCGTACCATGACTCGTTGATTGGCTCTTTTACATCACGCTGAGTTTTGCAAGAAGATCGCAAACAAGACAATATCAAAAGCTCACCAAGACATGTTTGTCCCCATTCCCAGTCGCAGCAAAGTCCGTTTTGTACATTCCGTTAAGTAAAATAGCATTGCGTTTGGTAAACGTTAATTACCTTTCGTCTATTACGCGCCCAGCTTACCAGTCCGCGGATCTGCTGCTGTTATTGCTCCGTTCGAGATTCAATTTTCCTCCTCTTCTCCTTTTCAAAAGCTCCGTGCAGTTTCCAGAAACTTTCACCTCCGTGTTACCAATGCTAACTTCATCGCGTCTTCATTTGCGCGTGAGCTCAGCTACGTCCCATTGCCTTGATTCATTTGCGGAGCGCTCATGTGGCCACGGCACGTTCACGGCCCACTCGTCATTATATTACTTATTATTTCTATATACATATAAATACAATTATATTCAAATTATTATTATACATCAAGATATATATATATATATATATATATTAAAAAAAAACAGATTCACACGTATATGTATTACTATATATTATTTTTATAATCAATCATTTCATTGTGTGTATTATTATCATTATATATATATTTTTTTTTTCCAGACAATTTCATTTGACGGAAATCCGTCACCTAGACGGAACTCTTTAATCCCTGGTCTAAGGCCAGTGATGATTTATAAACATTTATGAACAGTGGTCATCTCGCCCCCGATGGACTAATGACGGTCATGTGTTTGTTATCATTGCATTTCCTGTGTTTGACTCCCTGATCTGTGAAGTCCTCTGAGGCGACTGCTCTTGTGATTCATTCAAGGCAATGGGGGTGAAGTGTCTTGGCTAAGGCCACAACGGCAATTTGGAAATTTACAGCCGCAGCCGCCCCATTGTGGCATCTGGTGTTCCCAGAGGTCTCCCATCACAGTACTAACCAGGCCCTGCCCTACATAGCTTCAGAGGTCTGATGGGATCTGGCTTTCGCATGAAGGTATGGCCACAAACTAGTAGAAGTATTCTGGTTAAACTGAAGGTGTGAGGCTCTTGGATTTGATTCGTTCAGTTGTCAAATCTGATATACACCAGAGCGGTGCTTGTCAGAGCCTGCGGTGCTTTTCCAGACGCCACCTGTGGCCTGCACCTGTGGCCTGCACCTGTGGCCTGCACCTGTGCCCAGTCCATCCATCCAGTACTGCTTGTACCATTAGACTGATTTAAGAGCGGTTTTCTTCATCCTTTAAAGCTAGGAGCGCCGTGCAGCACAAAGACCAAACTAAAATCTAATTCGGCAATGGTCAGAAATCTGTTTTGTCAGAGTTTTGGTGTCATTTTTAACATTGATTATACTTCGCATACTTGTAGAGAGTCTGGGGAGTCACTTTTTTGGCAATGTGGTCTGAGTGTTAAGTGGCCGAGTGAGGGTGGTTATTTATTTTTCACTTTTCTGTTTACAAAAATCCGATCTAAAGATGTGACAGAGGCCAAAAGTTCATCAATGTGGAGTAAAGTGACAGAACAAAACTGTTTAGAGAGTGAGAAACTAGTTAGGCCAAAAGACAGTGCTCTTATATAAACCATAGCTATAGCCTGGACCCAGACGTGCTGTTGTGTTGTGTTGTGTTGCTTCATGTGGTTGTGGTACCTTTGTATTCTGGGGTGAACTCCTTCATGTCTGGAGGCAGAGACTCGTAGAAGCGCTGCTCTCGGATGATCAGAGGTTTGCACACGGTGTGGTCGTCGTAGCGCATCATACTGGTGTGGCCCCCCACCTGCAGAACACACAGCGTTTTTGTGTTGTTCTGTTTACTTTTTAATGTTCTGGAAAACGACTGCAGGTCCTAAGTAGTTCTGAAACAGTTGTACTTTATACATTTTATTTTTCTTGATTTTTTCTATATAAGATGTTGCTGCAGTACAGTGTTCATGGTTTTACACTGGTCCAGACCAGAGCAGAGAGGATTCATGGTCCAAACCAAGTGGATCAGATGAAAATCCACTGGAGGAATGCTGACTTTTAGAAAAATGCTAATGAAGCATTTAGCATTTTACTTTGGAGCAGAGCAGAGAAAATGGTTCGAACCAAGCAGTTACTCCACCTTTTGACCTGTCCTGCTCCACCCAGAGGCTACTCCACCTCTGCTGCTGTGACCCATCCTGCTCCACCCAGAAACTACTCCACCTCTGCTGCTGTGACCCGTCCTGCTCCACCCAGAGACTACTCCACCTCTGCTGCTGTGACCCATCCTGCTCCACCCAGAAACTACTCCACCTCTGCTGCTGTGACCCGTCCTGCTCCACCCAGAGGCTACTCCACCTCTGCTGCTGTGACCCATCCTGCTCCACCCAGAGACTACTCCACCTCTGCTGCTGTGACCCGTCCTGCTCCACCCAGAGACTAGTCCACCTCTGCTGCTGTGACCCATCCTGCTCCACCCAGTGGCTGACTCCACCCTCTGCTGCTGTGACCTGTCCAAATCGGCCTGAGCGATTTAAAACCCACATCAGCAGGTCTTATGCGTGCTTGTGTGTCATTTCTCACGTTCTCTGTTACATGGGAACGAGAAGGAAGCCTGTATATATACATTTTAATTCTAAGAGACAAGACAGGAAACATTCATTTATTTTGATTGGACGCATTGTCCCGGCCGTGACACTTGCAGTAGGGGAGATTGTCAGCTGATGTAGATGATCTCAGACCCCCCGGGGTCAAGCACTGGCGGTGGCTAGAAGCATGGTATGATGCTATGGAGCCAGAGCAGGAAGCAGACAGGAGCCAGACCAGGAGCCGGAACCAGAAGCCAGAGCAGAAGCCGGAAACCAGGAGCCGGGAAGCGTGGGGAGGTGTGGGTGTTAAGAGCTTCAGGAAGAGCTGTTTATCTGGGAGTGGTGCTTTTTAAACTGGCTTTGCTGTGAGGTCTTGTCAAGGGGTGGCCGGACTGTGTGATTGGTAGGCCCTGGTGGTAGAGAGCCGTGGCGGTCTTTCAGTTAGAATTTGCGCTTTGCTTCCTTTCATTCATTATTCATTCACTCAAACATTCATTAATTCATACCCTCATACTTCATACACTCATACACTCATACATTCATACATTTCATAAATTTATACATTATGCATACATATTACAACCATACACACATAACACATACACACACACACACATACACACACATACACACACATACACACACATACACAACATCCACACACAAAAACAAACACACACACACCACACACAACACATAATACACACACACACCACACACACACACACACACACACACACACACACACCACCATACAGTCTGTACAGTGTCGCCTTCTCCTCTTGCACAACAGGACCACCTACTGTATGGACGGCAGGTCGCACGTGAGCTGCTCTGATGGTTATGCTTTAGAGTGGGCCACTAAGGGATCTAGCACGAGCACGCCTGAGACCTGCACCCGCATCCAAAGCAATGAACGTTTACATCATTTCTCTGAAACCCTAAACCCTCCTGAACTGGGTTTGGTCTCCTGAACGAGACCAACTCCTGCTCAGATGTGCACTTTGTTATTATTGGCCCGTCTCGTAACATGTTCAGTAAGCTGCACCATTTAAAGGACGTGTTTTCAAAGTAGTGAATAGATCAAACTGTGATAGAAGTAGTTAGAGAGGGTAGACTAGAGTGTTTGAGATGAGGGAGTAAAAGCTCCTAAAATAAACACACAATGTTCACAAACTCAGCAATGTTTGGTTTTGCCATTTCAAAGCGTGATTTTGTTTATTGATGACCAAATGAGGAATTTCTATTTGCATCTAACATTTACAACATTTTAATGTGGCATTTTGTAATTTTCATTGTGTCCCCAGATAACAGGTTCACATGTATGAATCATTTTGACCCTTTTTGAACATGAAAAAAGATACAAATATTTGTCTCTTATGTATTCCATTTTCTGGGTCAGGGGGGGTGTCAGTCAGAGCTGACCCAGTGCAAGAGCACCAGCCTCACTGATCCTCCTGCAGGTGGGCGTGAGTCCACAGGAGCCTTGCTAAATTCAGCAGTGCTTCGGCAGAGTGGGGTTAAGTGTCTGCCAAGGACCAACGAGAGCAGACATACGTGGAGTATGAAGTAGTCTTGTGGTGGCTCGAACCCATAAACTTCAGCTCAAAGGCCAATGCTCTACCAACTGAGCCATGTCGTTCCCTCGTATCAAATCTTAAGTTTTAATTCAGCTCATATTTGTCAGACAAAACTCTCTCGACCAAATCGTCAAACAGGGATTCCAGAGATTCCCTCATATTGCCAAAGTATGAAAATTAAAACCATGATTTCTCTACTTAGATGAATGAGACATTTTACGTATGGGACAAACACAATGTATCATTTATGAAAAAGGTACCCCAGCTTTACAGTGGAACATGTTAATATATCTGTAACCTCGACCTTCAGTGATTGTTACGCTACATGTGATGCGTAGATATGAAAAGCCTTGTGCGCACATAGTCAAAAGACAACACACAGAACAGAAAGTTTTGTATTCAAATGTATTCACATTTAACAAAACTCTACGTTTGTGACAACTTCTATGGTCTCAGAAATATTCACTGTTATAATAAATAATACCAATAGGCACTTCCAGTAAGGTCTGGGCAAAATTGACGCTACAGTTTTGTGTCTAAATTACAAAATGGTAAAATTAAATAATTGTATATTTCAAGGGTTTTTGACGTTTAACATTTCTTTACTGTACACAATGTACAAATGGAACCCTGCAAGAATCAATGTGTTGGTTTCACAAAATTTTTGAACTTTCCTGTTGGGAGCATTCTATGTGGTATAGTGCAAATGTACATATGTGAAAGCTATAAGCAGAAAATCATCATTTAGGTGTCTGTCAGCTATAAAATTACTCTTCTTTTTAACTTCTACATATTCATAAGTTTTGTTTGGTTCCCATGGATACAGTTATACTATAGGGGGCTCATAAAACGCAAATTCAAACCCAGAACAGACAGAATGAAGTATCAAAAAAGCAATAGTGCGATAGTGTGGTCACTCATGGTCCTTTGTCTGTTTTGGAGACTGCAGTAAATTTGCAATCTCAAGAAAGTGGAAAGCGCTAAAGAACGAGCAAGCATTTGACTCTATTAGCCTTATTTGCTATTTGCTGTAGGAACCGCCAAGCAAAACACCGCACAGTTAATTTGGGAGCCATTCAGATGAAAAGTGAAATCGGAATTTTGCTCGAAGGGTCTGCACCTGCTTCGTCCACAGAAATGTGATTACGTAATGTTCCCAAAGATACAGATTTGTAGTCCCATATCTCTGGTGATCAATGAGAAATACCCAAAATATGTAATTTTATGCTGCACATTAATCAATATGTCAGTCTCAGCCTCAGGAAGATAGCGATGTTTTGCTTAAATATTCCAAAGTTTCATACCCAGGCAGAAACGTATATTTTAGGGGATGTTTCAGAGTATTGATTGAAAATGCAAACTATTTTTTGTTCTCATTCTTGAGTTGTGTGAAAGCCATGATTGTCAAATATATATGTTGAATTGCCTGTTAAGAAATCATTAAATGGCCCCAATCTGTCAAAGGGCATTCATAAATCATGGTCTTTTTGAATATTCTTCAACTGATAAAAGTTAGTTCAACGGAATACAGTAGTATGCAATTTCAAAAGTGTCCTGCCCTCTACTGTTACACCAATCAGAAGCCTGTGATCCGGGTTGCCAGAACTCAAACGCATTAGTCATTTCAGGTAATGTACACGTGGCGCGTACTAAAAAAGGGCTCGTTATGATTCTCAAATCTTTGACGACGGGGATAATTTTTTTTTGTTGACGCAACACTTTCTTACGCTCTAAATTGAAGTACGACGTCTATGTCAGCTTGGAGTCTTTGTGCTGTGGTGTTCTGGCCCATTTCTTGGCAAAAAAACCTTTAGTTCCAGTAATTGATAGGGCCGCCTTGCATGACTGAGGTTTGGATATCCCAGAGCCGATCAATGACGTCCTAATATGAACTAGATATTTGACAACAAAAGGCTTCACACAAACACTAACAATGATAATGATAGAACTTTTTTTCCTCATCACATATTCAACTATGCTTTAGTTAAAAATGTGCCTGAAATCGTAATAAGCCATAGTATTACTAGTTGCAAACCTCTGTGGGACAAGATACCGGTGATCCCAACAGAAAAACGTACCAGTGCACATGTTCCCAACATTCTACGTAGTTTGTGCTTTTGTAATTTCCATGCATTTGGACTCAAAAATCTGCGGCCGTTCACTTCCGGTTCCAATCCACTCTTTGAAGAAAAGCTGGAAACATGAAATGATTTGCATTAGTCATTTTGGTGGTGCTCCGCAGCGATGCTTGGAATTGTATGCACCATGTTCTTGATTCAATGAATAGAATTGTACATTGACAATGCATCCTCGCGCTGCTGAAACAAATGGATTCATAGAAAACAAATAATACTGTGTATGAAATGCAGTGCACTTACATAAATGCATGGTCGGACTAATGTTCATGAAAAATGGTGGGGAATGGATAAAGATATAAGGTTTGTGGTGGTTATATTATTGCTTTAAAAGTGTGTGTAAAACAGGAGAGGCAGGGAAGGAACTGAGCTTGACAGAAGTTAAAGAGTTGCATTTTTTCAGATGGAAAAGTACAAGGACCAGCACTTAGTGCGCCACATAACATATTTGATCAATTGCTTGAAGCTTCTCTGAGATTAGCAGTGGTTCAAGTGGTTTTGTCTAACGACGGCCTACATTATTTAGATTTGCAAAAAAATATGGAGTTAATTTAAATGGACCAACGTTTAAGGGTATTGCATTGGTGCGCGTGCCATAGTACACTCTCCCACTAAGCAGGAAGCAAATGTGTGCGTACAATGAAATCGAAAGGGTCAGGCTAAAAGGTGAGACTCAAAATGATAATTTGTTACACTTCTTTATTGAAATAGGAAAGTGCAAAGCTGCTGAGGGAGCGGCTCAAATGTGCTACGTCGCCTAATAATGTATGTTTGTTGCCAGGGTCTGCAGACATACACTTTCATTTGTGCATGAGTGGCCTTACAGAAAAACATAATCTTATTTTATCTTTTTTTAAAATAGGGTAGCTCAAGTAAGAAAAAAATAAAGACGAATATACAGGGGACTGAGCAGATTTGAAGCAGAAACTACATCTGGCTGAAAGTCAGTATGAATCTTGTTCCAGAGCCGTTCTGGTTTGTACTGAAAATATGAGGGACTGAAGCCCAATAACTTAGGCTTAGTTGAAAGAGACGGATTATGCAAATTGACTTTTAAAGCCGGGGTGTCTAACCTCTTAGTAAGAGGGCCACTTTGTTAATGAGAATTGTCAGAGGGCCGACATACGAGATCGGTAAAACTGCTTTGATTTCGGATTCGAGCTTTCTTAATGAGTATGACCTGCCATATATGAAAAATGGATAATGACAACTGTTGGCTATATCCCACTGTAAGCACAATAACTAGCAGACAGTCCAACGGTCCAGAAATGCCGTGTGGATGCAGACCAATCTAGCAGAGAAGCTCCACCCATTTCTCAAGTGCGTTTCAGGATTAAACTGAAGACCTTAACATTATTGGGACCGGTTTGGACACCCCCTGATATACATAATCAACAACAGCTGTTTCTACATTGGCATAGCTGAAGTTGGCTGGATGACATTGTTAACTTGTGTTTAGGATCTCAATGGTTACTTTGGGTTAGCAAGACTCAGGGTCACATGACATGACACAGAGGGCCGCAATTGGCTCGTGGGCCTTAGGTTGGACATGCCTGTTTTAAGCTCCTTGCTAAGTTCATTGCTCCTCATCAAAAACCCATCCACGTAAATACTGTACAAGGAACTTCTGGCAGAAAACATCTATCTCCTCTAGCCGATCTTTATCCCCGCCTACGCCATTTTTCAGTGGGAAGTTTGGTCTGAAACGTCTCTGTTGGGGCAGAACTATGCCCGAACAAGATCTTACCGGACCGATCCAATTGTCAGCGCGGGTTTTATACGAAGATGGGCAGATGAGCAGCAGTAACGCAAGCAGCGACGTGACACATTTGTCCGGGCCTGACAGATTCGGGCTGTCTTCCGGAATACACACAAGGCCACCATATCGGCTCATATGCCAAAGATAGTTTAATTTTTGGTAAATTACACTGAAATGAGGAGTGTGGGAATAATCTGGTTGGTTGTTGAACTATCCAATAGAGCGAAGAGGAATAGTTTTCCTAGTTTGGTTGGAATACGCCCCATAATCACACAATCTTCATACTTGTTTCATCCTATATTTACTACTTATGATATTGTTTCACATTCTAAAACATGAATTTGAGGTGGCCAACAATAGTGCATAATACGTCTTCTTTAAGGTTGAAATTAAAGCGTACTTTATAGACTCAGGGAGATTTAGGGAAAGTAGATGCTCAGTTTGGTTGTCTCAGAAAGATTTTCCTTATGATGCAATGGTTTTAGAATTGAATGTAACGCAGGAGTGTCAACCCCATTTTGGTCGGGGACCGAGTAAAAAAGGGCCAAAAGAATACATTTTTCTTTTGATTTTTTTTTTAACATTATGAAGGTATTTTGGCACTACTTTTATTTGTCATGAAATGTGTTTTTTTGAACTCATTATGCTAAAGATAGATATTACACTTGTTTCTTCTTCATGCTAGAGTTTGTGATTTTAATTTCATTTTTTCAGTGTAGAGTAATTGCTCATTTATCTTGTGCTGTGTGCTCCTCATTCCTACTGTTCTGTAATTGATAATGCAACACTGACATTTTACCACTGTGGGACGAATAAAAGGATCTCTTCATCTTAATCTTAATCTTAACATATACAAATTATGTTAGGGACCACTAAAAATTGTCTTGCGGGCCGGAAATGGCACCAGGCCTGAGTTTGACTTGTCTGTATTAATGGAATGATCTGATAGAAGCAGAAATAAACATGTGTGCTCCGTATAAGAATATAAGAACAATCAGAAAGTAAACCAGACTTTCATTTACTAATGTTGGATCCAATTTAGCCACAGATTGATGCTTACTGACTGTTATGTTTTTTTCATATCATCGCCAGTATCACGTCACATGACAAACATGACTCTGTTTCTCGCTCCATACATTCATCCATCGGGTCCATAGGGACTACCCTTCCCTCAGGCCTGTGTAGTGGCGTGCCTCCCCCTGGGAAATAAGAAGCAGACGTGAGTTACGCTGATGGCTCACGGCGAATGTTTCCCTGAGGTGAAAATCTTCATCAAGTTATATCCACAACAATAAGAACCAATAAAGACCCGGGAAGTACATCGATTTGTATCACTCTCTTCTTTCCATGTTGGCTATTATCAGAGCAAAGCATGTAGAATGAGTTCCTGAGAATAATTGGTCAATATTTAGGTGAATGTCCAAAGATTAAACAGAAAAAGGAAGGAACTGTATTGTATTAGTGCTTTTGCAGGAGAACAACCTACTAATGTAACTGTACAGCACTTCTACACTGCAAAAAGTGGTAAAATATGAGCTAATAATTGCTTGAATCGAGAGGTTTTTATCTTCATTTGAATACAGACTGTCTTAAAACACGTTTTGCCAAAAGGGACAAAGCCATAGAGTTTTTTTTTGTATCTTTTTGAAACAAGATAATTTTGATAAGATAAGATTTATTGATCTCACAATGTAGATAGTTTACATGACACATTTGTTATCGATAGTATCACTGAGATTGAGCAAAAAGACATGAAGCGTGTCCCATTGGCAAATCTTGTTTTAAGGCAGTCAAAATGTGCTGAAATTGAAATACATTGTACCAAATTTGCGCAATTTTGAACTTATTTTTGATCACTTTTTGCAGTGTACAGCTCACTGCCAATTCATATTTTAGTGTGTTTGCTTAATTTAGGTCTGTATGTTAAAAAGGGAACTGCCACCCACTGATCTGTCAAGCTTTCTGCGTGATGGGAATGCGCGTCGGGATCTAAGCAAGCTAAACAAACACGTCGTCTGGAAACGCTCAATCTTAATTATAAGGATGACATAAAATAGATAGACCAATCCTAGAATCCCTTCTGATCCATAAATGTATAACCAAGCATAGTGTGGAGCATGTGAGACCACAAACATGAATGAATTTTGAAACACAAGTAAAACTCTAGCGTGTTCATAATATAGTTGCATTCAGAAAATAATTAGGTATAAATTGGCAGCAAATATCTGCAGTCCTGCAAGTGTCTCCATCTTTGATTGAGGTCCTTTGACAGTAGCAAAATAAGTCTTTATCCCAAACAATATTGCAATCTGGAAGGTTCCATTAGCGTTTGGTGTTGCCAGACTCGGAATATTATAATAAAACGTGTCGTATCAAAATGCACCACCCTGTTAAAGTGTGATGGCCGCATCCCAAACATCTACAGTGCTGTGTCTTGAGTGATGTGCTGGCAACAACAGGAGTCTGTGTTGGAAAAAAAAAAAACTTAATCTCCCATGATTCTGCCTCATTCTTCTACCTCCTCGTGCGTCGACCAATCAGATTGATCCACAGTCTCCTCGGGCTCCTCTCCCTCCAGCAGCTCCTCGCGGCTCCCTGGCTCCTCCTCTTCCTCGTGGATGGCCAGAATGGGCTCGGTGACATTGTTCAAGTGCAAAGACTCTGAGCCCTGGCTTTGTTTGGGTGTTTCTTCTGCGATGACTTTCTTCCACATCTCATGGTTTTCCAGCAGATGGTGTGTAATCTGACAGAACGCTTTCCTCCTCTTCTTCGGCACTGCTTTCTCTGGAAGAGAGCCACGCAGAGCAGACATGAGTTATTCATGAATCGTAGAAGTTCTGCAGTGTGACAAGGCACATTCTCATGAAAGAAACACTGTAGTTTTAGGTTGCCCTCAAGTTATACCGATCAAATGGAACGTTAAAAGCTCATTTATCTCACCGACACTTCGACAACACAAGCAGGAAGAGGCCAGGACAACTATAAGTCAGGTTTGTGGAGATGCAAGCCCAACTTATATACAGAGACTATACTATACAGAGAACCAAAAAACTATTAATTATATGAGATATTTACACAAAGATATTATAAGTGAAGACTTTTAAACTTTTTTTTATTTAATCTGCTTGGCTACAAACACTTATTGAAAATGCTTTTTCTCTAACGGTGCCTGTAACCTTTAAATATCCCGTACGTTTGTATCGGTAACATACATTATGTTACTTATGCCCCATATCATACAGTATGTATCATATAAATCATCTGTAAGTACAAATGAAAGGGGGCCACAGTGGCTCAGTTGGAAGAGCATTGGCCTTTGAGCCTGAAGGTCGTGGATCCGATGCCCCCACGAGACCTCCTCCAGCTGCTCCACTGAAGTCTCCTTTCATTGTGACATAACCCTCTTTGCCACCAAGGCCATTTCTTTACTGACGGAGCAGCCAACTTCCTGTGGACCCACCACCTGATCAGTGAGGGACTGGTGCTTTGAGCGTTGGATGGCCCCTTGACCCAGAAATTGATTAATAAATGGGTAGAAAATGACTGATTGACATATCTTATCATCATATCACCGCTGTGAACAAATCATTAATTCTGTTGGTGAACTGCTACTTGGAAAACCACAGAAAATAGCAGTTTATAACCCATAATTTACAGTAATAATGTCCCTACACTCTGACTTCCATTCTCCACAGAAGGCCTATTTACTTCTATATAAATATATATTTTTTACGTTTGCATTTAAGTAGAGGTTTTATATTTCTTGAGCAAAAAAGTACATATACATGAACAACCAGTTGGAGTATCTCTGTGTACATGAACTGAGTACTGTGTGCTTTCTCTTACGTGACATCTCTGAGCTGGTGGACGTGTCCTCCTCCGCAGTGTCCTCCTCTTCCTCCTCTTCGTGGTCGGGCTCGTCTTCCTCAGAACAGGGCTCCACCCACCGGCCCGGCATCAGGCTGGCCGAGTCGTAGGAGTGGCACAGGGGCCCCACGATGTGCGTGATGAAGGACTCCTGCAGTTTGGCCAGCTGTGGTTTGGCTCTGTCCATGAAGGGGCTGACGGGAAGGCCCTGGCTGGACTCCTCATCACCCTGAAACAGTACACCAGATTTTATCACCCATGTTGTCAAAGAGGGTCAAAGCAGGTCAAAGAGAGCCAAAGAAAGGAGAGGACAAGAGAGAGCCAGAGAGGGTCAGACAGTACCACAATGTCAAATATTATGGATGAGTTTTCTGCTGCTGGACACCTGAATTACTTCTACGAGGATCAATAAATAATATCTATCTATCTCTTAAACCGACCCAGATCTATTATGAATACAGATGAGACAAGAGAACCTTTAATGGTCCCACAGTGGAGACATTTCCGTGTTGCAGCGCACATTCAGGACAGTACAGTAAAGAGCACACAGGCAGCACACAAATATACACTATACAATATTTGTGAATAAGCTCTCAGTTGTACAGGGATTATTCAAAACAAAGGAAGGTTCGTCATGTACAGATGACGGGTGAGAAACCTGCCTTTGATTTTTAAATAAAATATAAGTAGCTGTTATGATTCTTAGCTAGCTGTAAATGCTTCAATATAAATTTGTCGACACAACTCTATCTACTGTATTTAGTGTAAGTTTTACATAACTGGCAGATACAGGTGACTTTGTGGGTTTGATAGATAGATACATACTTTATTGATCCCCCTAGGAGAAATTCAGGACTTCTGTTACTGAAGTAAAACATAACGAAGTATGTATACTAAATCGGCACTGTTTTTCAGCTAAATAAACATAAATGCAAAAATAATAACAGTATTTTATCATCAGAACAAATTTCTGTATTCAAAATATATTATGTTCTAAACCCCTTCGAAATCAGCCATACACAAACATATGCTTAATAAAAGTAACAGCAAACCAGAGATGAATGCAAAAAAATATATATACAAAAATAATAATAATCACATAATCCCAGGGTATAGTGATTCCAAATGTGCCACTAAATATTATATATTTTGCATGCATGAAAAAACCGTCCTCAAAACCTTGCATGGAAGCTGGAACCTACAATTATAGCATGAATAGGACCTTAAAAGAGAACAGAAAAGCTCATTATCGATGAATACACATTGAAATTGCCTTGTGACCCTGACTTAGAGCCCTGCAAATCCCTTGCGACAAAAATACACTCCGAACACATTGTACATTGCCGCGTTCTCGTTACGATTCCGGCAACAGGTGTAAGAATCTCATGGCTCATATCTCCTCTTGAACTAATCGATGGCTTCTCACCTATAGCGGGAATGCAATTATCGGCATCACTTTACATCCCCACAGACTCGTCACATGTGCAAGAGCCTGAGAATTTCGCCGCAGCTCTCCGTGCTACAGTCCCGTTGCCACAGCAGGTCGTGATTAGCTGCTACTATCATATGTTTCTCATCAAAGGGTGCTGAGCCTAAATAAATGATAGCAACTGGACAGGGTCAGGGGGTTCCTTCCAGCATTGACTGTACTTTTTTTGCACAAACTGTACAGAGAGCGCAGCGAGAGCATGGACAAAGATCACAGATTTGCGTCTGATAATGTTTGAGAAAGGATATAGTATCGTTCTGAGATCCAGCTCTCCTGCGTACTGTATGTGCTGAATAACAGAGGTTTCAGGTTGTCGTGGAAACTAACCGCTCTATAGGTTTGATTGGCTTCAAACGATTGGGCAAAAAATAATGATTATTGTAGCGTACGTTTAGGTAAATGTACGCTCTGAAACTGAATTCAAACCGCGTCTTGGTAAATGAGTTCTGAGATTTGCGATTTTGTTTTAATACAGAAGAAACAAATAGAAAAAATATAACGCGAAACAGCAATTGGTTTATTGACTACGGACATTTTGAAATCATAATTATTCACAACATAATGTACATTCAGACGTCATCACCTCTGTGGTAATATTACATGTTTATTGTGATTTATTGTTCATATTTTTTCTATTTCTGCCCTAGTGTGTTTTTGCGGTAAATAGGAAATATGAAAAAAACAAATAAATGAATAAATAGTACAATGATTTGGAAAATATAATATAATGATTAAGGAATAGTTTTTATTATCTATTGTTAAAACACAGAAAGTCAAGAAATAAGTCACAATTATGAGAGCAGAAAGATGAAGTGATTCACCACTGGGCCTTGAAAAGTATGATTCATTGTTTGCTGAAGGTTATAATGTTTGTATCGTTGACACACAGCCACACGCACACGCACACACACACACACACACACAGGCACGCACGCACGCACACATACACACACACACACACAGGCACGCACGCACGCACACATACACACACACAGGCAAGCACGCACACACACAGAGACAGCCGCACGCACACATACACACACACAGGCACGCACACACACACACAGGCGCACACACACACACACACACACACAGGCCCACACAAAAACACACACACAGGCGCACACACACACAGACACAGACACACACAGGCGCACACACACACACACAGGTTTGTGTAAGCCCTCAGTCGTACAGGGATTAGTCAAAGCAAAGGAAGGTTTCTCACCCATCATCTGTACTTCTTAGCAAGTTTTCCCGACGTTTCGTCCTCAAACCAGCGGACTTCTTCAGGGAATGAATTCTCGGACCGCGCGTTGGAGATTTATAACCTATGGGTGTGGTTAGCCACACCCTAATCCTGATACTAATTCATAAACAATCTCAGGTCTGCTTGATGTAGAAGGGAGCAGGTCTAACGACCCTGCTGAGGCTAACGACCCTAACTCATTAGCACGTCACTGACCTATTGTCTGCTGGGATGCTCAAGTGGAGTGCAGGTCTCACCCCTCCTAACTCATTAGCATGTCACTGACCTTGTCCCAAGTTAGGGCGTTGTTTTTAGGATGTCGTCATAGATGCGAGGCAAAACAAATCTTAACCCTCCTCCTCTGTTAAGAGAAGGTTTTTGTTTCCTCACAAAAATGGCTTCTTTCACCCCTCTCTCAAACCAATTCTTCTCCCGAGCCAGAATTTTAACCTCGGTGTCATCCACCGTGTGGTTGGAGGCCTTGAGGTGGAGATGAACAGCCGACTGTGGCCCACTAGAGTTTTCTCTACGATGGTGGTAAAGTCGTTTCTGTAGAGTTTGTTTGGTTTCTCCAATATAGTGGTCAGTGCACTCCTCACACACACACACAGACACACAGACACACACAGACACAGACACAGACACAGACACAGACACACACACACACACACAGGAGGTTGTGGCACAGTGAAACCACATGCATTCTCTCTGTCACAATATTTCCTCGTGATTATTCCACGGCAGACAGAAGTGCTCTGTAAAGGCCACACTGAGGAGAATGCACTCTAATTACATGATTTCTGGGGAGAAGTAATTACAGAGAACAAAAAAGGGAACTTTGAATCACCATGAAAAGAAAAATAAACGCGCCGGTTATTATTGATTGACATACATGTTTTACGTTGTGTCCAACCTTGAATACAAAGCCATGCAATGACAAAAATGATCAAATCTGAGGTAAATAATGCTTGAGTGGAATGGTTTTTGTCTTGGTTTGAGGTCATTCAGACTGTCTTCAAACACGATTCTCCAATGGGACAAAGCCATGTAGTCGTATTTCAAGAACTGTTGCTTTGTTTTCTCAGAGAGACATTTCTTGTATCTTTTTAAAACAATATCATTTTGCTTTGTCCCATTGGCAAATCTTGTTATAAGGCAGTCAAAATATCAATCAATTAATCTTTATGTATAAAGTCCTTTACAACACCAAAGTGCGTCACAATAAAATCACATAAAATCCATTAAAACATTCATGCAATCAAAAAATAAATCATTATAAAAATATGCTCAAATGAAGGTACATTTTGCCAAATTTTAGCAATTTTTGTCTTGATTTTTCAGTGAGGTGTATTTCTGTGTTTTGTAATTGAAATCCCAAAAGATTCAAATTAAATTAAAAGTCAAGATTGTTGATTTGTGCCATCAATACCTGCTTCTACGAGTAAAACCGTGTAGTTGATCAATAAAAATCTCATTAAATCATCCAGTAACGCAGCAGGGTGCCACAGAGCAGGAGGACCACACCCAGACAGACAGACGTGCAGGCATCTGAGAGGGCAGCCCCGCCTTTCTGCTCCTAACATCATTATGTATCAGGAGGCAGCAGTGTGGAGGCCGAGCTGACCCACAGGCAATTAGAAGGCATCACATGTACATTTACAGGCATTGGGGAAATTGTGCCAAAAGCCGCTGGGGTCAGAAATGGACAATATACGATTCTTATTGGACTACATCACGTCCTAACCCCTGGGTCACAATAAAAACAATAACAATAGCAGCTGAGGGATAAGGAGGTGGAATGCTGCCCTGGAATGATGCATTTATACACGGCAGAAAATGACAAAATAATTGCTTGAATTGTGAGGTAATTTAACTGATAATAGTAATTCGGCCGAGATATTTGGATTTTAAAATTAGTTTTACATCCACTAAATCTTGTTATTGTTTTCATTTCGATATCCCACCCTCCATCGTTTTACCAATCAGTAAGTCTGTGATCCGGGTGACCAGAACTCGCGTCGAGCTAATCTCACTGGTAAAGTAGGATGTCGCAGAACGAGTAATGCCTGCCTAGATTTGTTGTTGTCAAAATTCTTTATTCGGATATTATGGTCCCAGCTGCATTCGTCTGCACAACTGGCAACCTGAGTCAGAGAGAGCGCAGAACCACTTTTGACCAGATTTTTGCATACTGCTCCTTTTTTCCTATTTAAAGAACTGCTTTATTTTCTCAATTCAAGGGAGACTTTCTTGTATCTTTGTAACAAGGTAATTTAGCTTGTCCCATGGCAAATCTTGTTTTCAAAATTTGCTCAAATTAGACAAATGTTGCAAAATTTTTAGCAATTCTAGACTTATTTTTTTTATCACTTTATAATGTTAACAGTTTAAAGTGCGATAAAGAGTTCTGGTTGATGAGAGCAGGTTAAAGGAGCTGATACAGTAGTGAGGATTTTAAATATAGCTAAACATTCCTCTTGCTCCGGCCTAGATTTCTTGATATTTGGAGCTGAACCTGAACGGATTACTTTACCATCGCATTCGCCGCCATTGCCAAACTACAACCAGCAAATCGGCGCAAACTCTTGACGTTTACGTACATCTACCTACAACACCCGCCTCCCCCGCTCGTTGATTGGTCAGATGGGATACATCCGAGGTAGCTGCAGACACTGGGAGCAGACCCAGGCGGTACATGTAGGAAATGATAATTGACCAGAGTTTACTAATACACAGCTTGACCTCAGCTGACTTATATGAATTGCTTTAGCAATGCTTATGGAAAAAAAACCTCTATCGTTTTTAGTTATCTTTTCTCGCATAAATGCCTTTGGAAATCAGACAAATAGGATTTAGGGAAGAGTTGGAAAACATGAGGGAAAGCAGAGTGAATTAAGCTAAAAACCACTCCAGGTAGGTTCTGCATGAGGCAACAATGTAATGCCTGCCTGTTCTGGAGCTTCTCTATAAATCCAGGCTCTTAAATCTACCTCTTAGAATAATCAATGACTCTTCTGGCCCGTGGAAAAGCCATGTTTCAACTTCTTCCCTCTGGCAGAAGATATACTAACGGCTTCTTGCCACAAGCTGTTATCAGTTTGAACAAAGCACTTCAAGGACCTAGCACCTGTTTTTGTTGAATGGTTTCACGGTGACAATTGTTTAATTTATTTTATTGATGTACTTGAAAGTATTGGGGTAGTTTTACACATGTGGTTTTACGGAAAATGGCGAAAAAACTGAATCTAAATGTTGTAAAGTGAGTAAAGACTAGAAGGGTCAAATGTGTTCTTATGAAAGGCATGTGTGTATGTGTGTGTGTGCTTATGTGTGTATGTGCAGCACCTGTTCATAAAACTCGTTGACAATGCCCTCGGTCCACTGCAGGTGCAGGTCCTTACACTTCAGAGGCCCGTTGATGTCGGCCAGTTTGATGCACATCTGGCACACCAGCAGACGGTCGTTTTCATTGGACCAGTCGATCCCAGTGGAGGGGTCATCGCCCACCTGAGAGCACCAGGAGAGACACAGTGGATATGGTACTATGTTTACCACTAATGCTAGTTTTTACAGTACCATTTGTGCATTTGTTGTACAGAGCGAGGAAAAAAGGCTTTGCATGCTCTGTTCCTTCTACATGGAAGGTGTTGCAAAAAGTCTGGAAATGAACTGATTTTAGTTCATTGACTAGGCCCTGTCCACACGAAGTCAAGCTCAGGCCTAAACGCAAAAATACTTTATCAATCCAGTGTATCGTCCATACGAGGCCGGCGTTTTGGGGGGGTGTAAACGAACATTTTTGAAAGTAGGTCCCAGAGTGGAAAGATTTCAAAACTCCGTATATGCCGCTCCGTGGTTACTGCCTCTCCGCAATGTATCTGAGACGCTTGCGTCATCGCCCCGCCTCTTGTTAAAGCACGCATGCGCCGCACTCAGAAAATAATGACAACAACAATGTAGCTTGTTGGTTTTGTAATCCAGTGTGACCCGAAGCAACAGTTAAACCTCATCGTCCGTCCATACTAATGTAGTACCAGCTCGCCCACTCGCCATGTTGTCTGTTTACAAAATTCTGCGCATGCCCAGTTCCCGTCACGGAAGTTTGGGCTTGATCCCGTCATTACGTCACAGCGCCACCAACAGGTCTGGCATAGTTTCACAGCGTTTTCAGGCGTATTGACATTCATATGGACGCACACATTTACTGAGCTAACTCCGTGTTTACAGAAAAAGTTTCTGAAATTATAAGCGTTTTGTCTTCGTGTGGATATAGCCTAACTTAGACTTTAGGGAAATTGCGTTGTCACAGTAGCTCGCATAGTATTTCACAATAGAAAATAAAAAACAATATTAAAATAACAATCTGAAAACAAGAATAATAATAACTTAAAATTGAGTGCTTTTAAATTCAGAAAGAGAGCACTTGAGACATCCTCATTGACATGTAACTGCTTTTGTAATCTGTAATTTTATGTAATTGTAGTAACTTTTGCTGCCTCTTGTCCAGGACTCCTTTGAAAAACAGGGCTGGTCAAGTTAGGAAAAATCATCCAAATTCAGCCTGAAAAACATATCTAAGGTGTTTTTTAATCACTGTGGCGGGTCAATTTGACAGCACAAAGGAGGAACTTCCCTGGTTGAATAAAGATCAAATAAAATAAACTAGTGAGAAACATACACAGCGTATATATAAAGTACTGGAGCGAAGGCAAATGTGTAAAGAAGCTGCAGTCGTACTTTGTGATGGGGCCAGACCTAAATGTGAGAGCCAGAGTTCTATCAAAGATGTGTTAGTCACAAATCAACTGCCAGTTTTTAGAGGACCTTCAAAAACATCAAAGCTTCCTCTCAACATCAAAGTATTCCACAGCCTCGGTTGCCAAAGCATGGAACACGGATGACCTCGCCCCTCGGATCACCTGACCATTATGTAGTAATGGATCTCGGAAAAGACTAGTTGTCACTTTGGCAGCGACCATTGGTGATCCATACCAAAAAAAACGAATAAACCACATTTTCATAGACAGACGTGTAAGCTTGTAATCTGACTCCTTGCTGGAGGGGGTGTACCCGGAAACAGAATAATCCTATTATATTTATTATGACACATTCTTTCCTCTAAAAAACCGCTTTACAGAATGGTCCAAAAGTCGGTTCTTGGCTCAGCGCTATACGTCCCAGATGTGTGTCAATGCTGAGGGGAGTGATTGTTTTTTGGACCAGTCTAGTTTAGCCGCCGTGGACTTTTGAATGCACTCTTTTAATGAATGGGGCTCGTGCAAGCTAATGCATGCGCAAATGCGTTGTTTCCAAGCCCCGGTGATCCAAATTGGCGCCCGATTCAAATGAATGGCTTGTGCTCAGTAGCGCATGGGACTTCACGGGGACCGGAGATTAGCTGAACTCGCCTATATTTGGGCATTGTCCGGTCCTCCCGGTTCTGCGCAGTGGATTATCTCCCATGATGCGTTGCGTGTGTGACTTTCACGCACACAGAGGGGCTCGGCCGCACTCTGATCACAGCTGCTGATTAGAGCAGTGGGAGAGTGGAGTCAGAGCGGGAAGGAGCAGAGTTTGTGGCAGTAAAGTGTGGATTTAAAGAAAACAAAAGGATTTAAGAAGAAAAAAAGTTCAGGATGACAAGGGACACTAAAATCCCCACAAAATCCGATATTTCTGAAAGCTCTCTGAAAGCTCTCTAGGTTCTCTGTCAGCTGAGATCCATGGTTGTTTGACATTTTCCTGCGGGAGGGGCCACCCACGGCCATTTTGACTAAGTTCGGAGTTTCAATGGCGGAGATAGGCGTCACTTTGTCCGTTAATATTCAAAGTGTGTGGTATTTACTGGTTTCTCTTATCCAAACGATGTCTAATATTTTGAAGAAAAGTTGTGATGTGCCACAGGCTTAAGCTGCAAACTAGAGACAGAGAGAGCTTTTCGCTTCGACCTATGCCTTGTTTTCTTGCTTGCTCTTATCATATTTTTTTGAACATCTCGTGCATGTTTGAAATAAATAAACGGATAAAATGAATGAGAAACACAGAAACCCTTCACACCACATGTATTTACCTTGGCATTAAACTCAGCAAGGAAGTCAAAGTGCTTCTTCAGATCAGTGGCGAGAATGGCCTCGATGACCAGGAAGCGGAAGCGTTTGAACTCCACATGGTCCAGGTTCAGCAGGAAGTTGAACTCGGGCCGGGACAGGAACAGGTTCCACGCTGAGGCGGCGTGGTGGTTCTCCAGGACTGAGCGATCGTTGTAGAGGACTGCCTGAAAAGATACTTGAGTATTAGTCACATGGGAAGTTCTGAAGGAACACAGTACAACAAACCTGAAAATGGTCACTAGTTAAGACTTTATTGATATCACATATGTACATGTCACATTTGGCATGAATAGGATCACTCTGGGCGTGCAAAAGACAGGAAATGTACAATACGTTATAAAGTGTCTCTTTTGTGCAAGATATATTATGTACAGTGTTGGGTAGAATACTTTGAAATGTATTCGGTTCCCAAACACTAGTATTCTGTTGCTTTGGTAAAAGTAGTATCTGTATTCTGAATCTTTGTTTATTTATACAAGTTTATGTAAATAAATGTATGTGAACACGTAACTGTTACTTCCCAACACCGACTATGTACAACAAAATAAATGATCATATGTCAAATAAATGATAGTCATATATCAATACAGCCACGGGAAAAATTGATGCAGTTAGGTTTGGTTCACTGTTACTGAACCAATTATGTTTCACTACAAGCAAAAAGGCTGGTTTTTGTGGTTCTCATCAGGTATAGGAGGATTTTCTACTTCCGGGTGCATCATCAAGACTATTGGTCCTCCTAATTGTCAATCATTCTGGTGATACGTTCTCTTCAAATAAAACCAGAGAGATTTTTCAAAAAGTGGAGGGTCACTTTTTGTCAAATCATTTTCTTTCCTTCAGATCAAGTGAACGTAAACCATGCAGACCAACGAGTGTGAACGAGCGTGAAGAAAACATACAGTACGTGAGAGAATCTGAGAGTGCGGTGTCTTATTCATATATTTATTTATGCACCTCAAGCTGGGTTTGTTGTTGTACTTTTTTCTGTAGGCGATATTTGTTAACGTGAAAAAACCCAAACCAAACCTCACACCTGCTTAGAGCGTGCACATCCTGACTACTACATCTATAATGAAAAGAGGGCCACACATCACACTGCTCTTTCTTATAATCACAGTCAGACTTCATTGCTTTCCCCTCCTCGAAACTGGAGCTTGTGTCGCACCTGGGGAGCGCTGGTGGCCACGAGGAAGGCGTTGGTCCTGCCGGGGTGGTCGTAGTCGTGCATGGCGGCGGCGACGTACAGGGCCATGAGCTCCAGAGCCGGGATGAGGCCCGACAGGCAGCCGTACCCGTCCTCTGACACAGTGTAGGTCTTGGACACCAGGAAGCCCATGTGACTGTGGGTGATGCCGCTGTCCGAGTCTGCAGGCACAACGCCGGATTTAAACTACAAATATGGATCTGTTATTAAATGTTTGAAGCAATTTTGTTAATAAGTGATTTTTACTGTTGTTTTTTGGTTATCTAAAAAAAAAAAAAAAAATTACACAAAAAATAAATGAATACACAAAGCGAACAAATAGTGCAAAAAATGATGTGGTATGAGGTAACAATTGCTTGAATGGAGCGGTTTTTATCTTAATTTAAGGAGAGTTTGGTTTGGTTTTAGATCCATCCACGCTTAATATCAGGAACGAAACAAAATGAATAATTCTAAACCTCCCTCTAGTGCTAGCAGAGGGATAGGGCAGGCTGAGAGCATTGTATATTTTTACCCTTGATACTTGTTTGACCATTTATTTTCCACTTAAGATATAATTTCACATTCTAAAACATGAAATGGCAGGAAGAAGTTTTTTCCCTTATTATTATTTTGTAATGGCCAAAAATTATGCATAATATTTGTTAGTACACATGAAAAAGTAATTTTTGTACCCCAAATATGGCTGGAATTAACAATGATTTTGATCATAGATTGGTTGGCTAATTATTCTTTTCATTAATAAAGAAGGGATTTTTTGAAATAAAATTAAATGAAACATAATGAAATTCTAGGGCGACAGTGGCTCAGTTGGTGGAGCATTGGCCTTTGAGCCTGAACGTCGTGGGTTCGAGCCCACCTCAAGACCTACTTCACGACTCCCACTGATAACTGCTGTCGTTGTGTTCTTGGGCAAGACACTTAACCCCACTTTGCCTGAAGCCCCCGCTGAAAGATCTCAGCTCCTGTGGACTCACCACCTGCAGGAGGATCAGTGAAGGGCTGGTGCTAAGTGTACTGGATGCAGCTCTGACTGCCACCCCCCCAACCCAGAACTGGATTAAGGGGAAGAAAATGGATGGATGGATGGATAATGAAATTCTGTATAAGTCAGGCAAGTCTCGGTGCCTTGCCTGCCCAAAGTAGTCTTTGAGACTATAAACACAAGTTCACTATGTCATCCATCCAACTTCAGCTCAGCCAATATAGACATGTAGACACGTCTGGAATTTGTACAAACTGTACTAACGTCATTTATGATTGTGTCACAAACTTCCGTCAATGATGCTACTGTAGCTAGTGAGATAGTAAACATTGGTCATTCAGCCAACTTCAGCTCTGTTATAGATCATCATAAATCTCAGAACAGCCTGATGCCAGTCAAAACAGTTTTTCAGTCCATGATGTCAGCCCCTGGACTAGTCAGGTGAACTAAAGTGTTTGGACACCCCTGATCTAAATCATAAAACCTGCTCTCATCAAAGTTTATGGAAGGTTTAAGAAAAGGATTATTCGATCACTATATTAGTTAGTTAGTTAATTAGATAATATAATAAACAATATCATTAAATCAATTATTCATGACTAATTGATGAACTTGCTACAGCCCTAACCACTTCCTAAACAAACATACATATACTCACGCTAGCTAGCAAACGAGCCAACTGCACTTATCCTCTTCTATGTGGATCAAAGAGATGTCCCAAGTCACACAAACGAGGTTATGGAAATATGCAAGTCTAATCTGCTGCAATTTCATGCACTTCGGCACTTCAAATAAAGATTCTGCTTCCAGCCCAGGCAAGATAAGAGCAACACTTAGAGAAGGACAAAAATGTATACTTCTACAAACTGCTTTGATGCTGTGTATATGAATATGACTGTACGCAGTAAAAACCTGGCAACGCAAAGACATCTGGTATGGTTATTTTATCCTAATTTACTACTGGCTGAGTTAGAGGCCATGTCAACAGAGAGACCATCCCAATGTAAACATTCAGGTGTGAAACAGTATAAATCTGTATAATGTAAAAAAAATTCTTCATGCTGACCTACAGTCCAAGCAAAAAAACACAATATCCATGGAAAGCAGAATCCTTCAGACCAGCAATGCTTTAGCTGTTTTTATGCTGTTTATACTTTACTTTACCTGACATTGTTATGACTACAGAATTACATGATCACATATTCCACTAATTTGATAGTTACTTTCTGATAATTCACTTTACCTGCTGCTGCTGTGATTTTTATGTTAGTATTATTGTTATTAATATTATTTATTCTGGTCATATTCTCTGCTGCTAAAGTACAATACCAACCATCAGTAAATACTGCTCATGATGCTGCTAATTACAAAGTATGCTCCACAAGTGACTTATTCTTCAACCAATCACACTCATAGCTCCAGAATTTTACTTTATTATCTTATTATTTTATTATCTTATTATCGATTATCTTAAATAATATATCCTGATTCATGTGTGCAACCTGAGTGCTCTTATTTTCTGCTGTATAAAGATGTATCTTCTCTTTTTTACTGTTTTTCTTACTGTATTATTATCCTTTTGGAGGGTTTTGCAGTTTGGGCTCTCTGGGTTGTAAATGTGCAACATGAATAAACTTGACTTCATACCAAAATGGATACATTACAAGGATTTTAGATGTTAAAAAGCAGTATTTGTGGGCCATAACAATAAGCCTATAGATGCAGGCAATTATAGGTCTATTCAATATCACCCCCGTGTGGTCAGTTGCGTGCATTACCCGAGTCGCTGGCAGATCCGTGGTCACTGAGGAGACTGGGCAGACCGGGCACAGGCTGCGTGGTCAGGAACCAGACGGCGTGCAGCACATCTGTGGCGTGTACCCTGTTGTGGTCTGCAAATGCACAAGCACAAGTAGAGTTTTGATTTTAGGCTGCAGAATAAGCACCACAAGAGGGCGCTGTTGGCTTCGGTATGACATCAGTAAAGCAGACATAAATGAGGGACTATTTGTTATGGGAAAGTTTTAGCATGCTACTGTATAAGAACATGTATTTATTTACTCATGTATGTGGTACAATAGTCAACTTAAAAAAAGAGAAAGGAAAATAGGAATACAAAACATGTCTAGAATTGTTTTTTGTTTTGTTTTTGAGTGGGTAATTGTCATCATCATTATGGTAATATTTATTGATCACTCTGCAATTAATTTGAATCAATATGAGGTCCTTCAAGCATACAATAATTATTTTTAAGGGACAGTTTATTTGAGCCATTTATTTCATTATTATGTTTATTTTCAAATATTTAGTGAAATATATGACGAAATAAGGTTCGTTGTGAAATATATTTCAGTGAAGGGTTTGCCATTTACCTCACCACAACGGAGATCAAACCTACTCAGACTAAAAGTAATCTAATATAAAGATCAATGTAATGTAATAACATGGATCGTTAAATTAAGAAATTAACAACATCGCCCGGAATTAAAAGGTAGACGCACCTTCATCAAACTAAACATTTTCAGACGTAAAAATGAAAAAGTCCAGATCCAAAGTGACCATTGTGTGACTGTGTTGTGCTGCCCTCTCGTGGCCAGTTACGTACATGGTATGTCCCTGTAGCCGTTCTCAAGGGCATGGAAGTAGTTCATGAATTCTTTCACAGGGATCTTGAAGGTCTCGAAAAGGCCCGTGTCTTCAAAGAGTCGGTACGAGACCTACGGCACAAGTATTCGATGAGCATTCACCACCATTTCAGGAACACCGGTCTGCATTATTATGACGGTAAAACATTTAATTATCCAGATATTACAGATCCCTGGTAAACTTTTCCCTTATCAAATACACAAAAAGTGAAATAAGAAGTGTTTTTTCATTCATTTGGAATGTTTTCACTGCAAATATACTGTACAGATTGTGTAAGAAACCTCTTGTTATTATGAAGTTTGCAGCACTGGGGATTTCTCCTCGTTGCTGCCTGGATATACATAATGTGAGTCAATTTCCTTATACAGGAATTTTATACTTATATAAATATAAACACCAGGATTATAGAGTGCTAATCCACAGATTATTTTAGGCCCAAAATGGTGAGTGTAGCACGAACAAATACTGAACTAAAGAAGTTTACTTTTCAATGGACGTTGTTAAAAAAATATAAACATATAAAAGGTAATAATTGCTTTAATCTAGTGTTTTTATTAGTATCTTAAAACAAGATTTGCCAAAGGGACAAACAATTTAGTCTTCTTTCAAGAACTGTTGCTTTATTTTCTCATTCCAAGGGACATTTCTTGTATCTTTTTAAAACAAGATCATTTTGTTTTGTCCCGTTGGCAAACCTTGTTTTAGGTCGTCACAATGTCAAATTTGAGCAATTTTTGACTTATTTTTCATCACTTTTTTGCAGTGTAGGAGACAGAGAGTAGGAGCAAAACTTTGTACATGATGTGTTTCATGGAGCTAGCGAGTTAGCATCGTCCATCTATATACAGTCTGTGGTTTTACCTACTATAATACAAATACACAAAGAATAACGTCTCACTTTTAAAGCAGAGAAAAATCATGCTTTTTGAAATACTACAATAATTCAACTAAAGAAGTCATCTCTTCTCTTACTTGGCTGAGGATCCTTCCACACTTCCCACTCGTCCTCTCCATCAAATCAAAGATGTGAAAGTTCCAATTATTTAGCTGGCTCATCAGTGGCTCCAGATCCTCCATTAACAACGGCTCAGGGGCCAGAACCGGTTTGTCCTGAGAGCAGCAAACACCATGTCATTGAGCAAAAAAAAAGCATTACTATATTTGGCCAAAAAAATCGGTATAGACAGCTCTATATGTGGCTATACCTCTGGAGGCATTAGTGGGTGAAGAATGACGTTTTGAGAGGTGCTTTTGCCCTCCTCCGTGTCCTCCTCTGTGGGTGCTACATCACTGCTGTCACTGTGGTTGGCCTCGTGGGTGCTCTCATAGTCCGACGACACCACCGCCCCCTCCTCCCCTGCACGCACACCGCAACATGTTTAGTTTAGTTTAATTTATTTAAGATGACAGGGACAGAATGCAATAAACATAAACCTCCAAAGGGAAAGATGTACTTTACTTGACTAAGATCAGTAGTACATAATGACACCAATATCAGGGTCCCATGTCGGGCTTTTTCTTCCGCTTCCTCCGTGTCCCGGTCGTGGAGGCAGCTAGCACGGACACTTTTAGCAGCTAGCTCATCAAATCTGTGGGAATCTCAAGGTGTTTCCAGGCTACAGCTGAGAGACAGTGTCCCACCAGCGTGTCATGGGTCCTCCCCATGGCCTCCTCCCCGTGGTCTCCTCCCTGTGGCTTCCTCCCCGCGGCTTCATCCCCATGGTCTCCTCCATAGGATCTCCTCCCCGTGGCTTAATCCCCGTGGCCTCCTCCCCGTGGCCTCCTCCCCGTGGCCTCCTCCCCGTGGCCTCCTCCCAGTGGGACGTGCCCAGAGGCGTTCAGGATGCATTCGAAAGAGATGCCCGAGCCACCTCAACTAAAATAACATATAATGGCATCCGATTGTATTGTGTTTTACAGGATTGTAGAAATCTCTCAGATAATATTTGTTCCCACTTGAAATCAGTGTAAAAAATGTACTCTTTGGTCAGATTTACAATTTTAAGTTAATTCTACTCAGTATTGTTCCAAACTTAAGTAGATTACAGCAGAGGGGCGGGGATTTAGTTAGAGATTTTATATTATTTTATTTTATTTTTAGTCTTGCGTTATTGTTCATTTATCTTGTGAGATGTGCTCCTTAATCCCACTGTTCTTTAACTTGTGATGCAACACTGAAAATTCCCCACTGTCAGACGAATGAAGGATCTCTTTATCTTTTATATAATTTGTATAATTATCACTGCTGTGGAGTTGAATTTGTGTCTGCAGATTTTTGCGCTCACTTCACGGATCGCGCCACTTTACTCTCCATAATGCTGACAATACTCTATTTGGATTCAAACAACTTTACTCTGAAATATTAACATCCCATTTTTTATTGGGCGGGCTCGCTGGTGATGGAAGCGAGGCCCCTCTGAGCACCACCATCACCCCCCACATTCAGACTGCTGCATCCCGGCGGGGGAAGCTGGCAGTGATGGGGGAGGCGGGGGAAACTGGAGGAAACCCAGAACCCAGTATTAATTTGTATTGCTAAATATTCCTGACTAATGGATGCGTTATGACTTATATATTTATAGTAATTTTTGAAGTATCGGTTTGATCGGGACCTGGTATCAGCCAATACTTAAAAAAAACATGATTGAGACTCAAAAAATACTACTTATTTAATGGACTTCACAGCAAGAAGGTTCGATTCCACCTCCAGGCCTTTTGGTGTGGAGTTTACATGCTCTCCTTGTGCCTGTGTAGGTTTCCTCCAGGTGCTCCGGTTTCCCTACTACCACTTCGATGCGCCAGTGTGTTTGCCATCTCGCTTTCGTCATCACCGTGTGGAGAGAATGGAAACAATTCTCTCCTCTCACTCTGAACATTGTAAAGTGCTTCGGATGACCTTAATCTGTAAAAATGTGTCTAAATAAAGATTACTTACTAAATGACTGCAGACTGATTCATAAGAAAACTCAGCTGACAATAAATCACATTAGAGTTGAGCAGAGGCCTTCAGAATTTAGAAAAGTAGCATAGATTACATCCTTTAATGCTGTGATTCAATCAATCCTGGATCAATAATTGTTCAGATTGACATATTTAAGCTACATTTATCCAATATCCAATACATAAGCAGTAGCTCTGCACTCACCCGGCCGAGGTATCCTGTCTCCTTTGTCCATAGAACCCTCTCCATGACTTAATTTGATGATTGGTCGACCACAACTGAAAACAGAATGGAAATAAGTGAATAATAATGAAATCTGCGAGTATTTCATATGGAACAACTTTACAGAGGGATCAGACAGGATCAGTGACAACGAGAAACTTATCCGCTTGTTTTTCCCTGCGTCGCGAGTTGGCAGAAGTTATTAAAAAGTAAAACCCCGGGATTCAGTGGCTCGGTCTCGGCATCAACAGAGAGACTTGTAAATGATTTTAATGGATCAGCACGGCAACAACAAACGGAACAAAACATCCGCTCAAACTTGTCATTAGAGGGTCTCCCGTTTCAGATTGATGGTGCACACAGAGCCATAGTTACGCCATCGCAAAATGATGCATGGTGGTATTTTTCGTTTTCATTCTTCTTTATTAGAGACACAACCTCATCACTGCAAAAAAACAACTACTGCTTTATTTTCTCATTCCTAGTTTTATTACTATGTACAACATAGGAGTGCAGGTGGAGGTGCAGGTGGAGGAGGGAAAGGGGGGGGGGGGCATTTTTTAGACATCCAGAGCAATGAACAAAGAAAATAATACTTAATGAAAAAATAAAATAAAAGCAAGTACTGTCATGGAAATATATAGGTGGGAATGTATAGGTGTTAATGTATTTGTACATCTATATACATGTGTGATTATGTATGTCTAAAAAAGAATAGAAAACCAAACAAAAAAATGTGTTTTGGCTGTGTTTATCTTTATTTGCACGTTTTTATTATTATTATTATTTTTATTTTTTTTCATTTTCTCATTCCAAGGGAGACATATCTTGTATCTTTTCAAAACAAGACCATTTTGCTTTGTCTCATTGGCAAATCTTTTTTTAAGGCAGTCAAAATGTGCTCAGAATACAATACTTTTTGCCAAATTTGTTCCACTTTTGACTTATTTTTCATAATGTTTGCAATGATAGGAGGTAAAGCTCCGGTAGTCCTGACCAAGCCGAGCATCAACATCTGGAGATGGGTTCCCGGGCGCTGTTACTACGGCGACCACTGCTCCTGAGTAAGCCTTAGCGGCATCATGATGGGTCAAATGCAGAGGATTGAATTGCCCTACAGGGATCTATAAAGTGCACCTCGAATAAGAATACGAAAGCCAGCTGAAGTACATTCATGGTCACCGATTAAGATTTGTCTATGTTTTTCTCATGCACATCTCTCACCGTATCACAAATGTGTTTCAAAGCAGTTCTTAGTGATGTTGTTTTGTATATAATATCTAAAATAAAGAAATTTCGTCTATATAAAATCCTTGGTTTGCCATTGTGCACATGCCAGTCTGTTTTTGCTGGTGAATTTGAGACTGTATCTCTTTCCACAAGATAAGATGAAATTGCCTTTTGTTAATTTTGCCGTTGCCTAAATGCTACTTTTATCTTTTCTCGGAGGAGCGATTATCCAACTGTAAAAAGTCGAAGTACAAAAGCACCTACTGTAGTTCTTTACGCTCACATACTCAAGATCAAGGTCAAGTTTATTTACATAGCACATTCTAAAAACATACATGACTGCACATAAATACAGTGTAAAATAAAATACTGGTCCGCTATCATAAAAGTTTAATTTTAGCTCGAGTTAAAAGAGTAAAGATCTCTTACTCTGACAGTTACATCACTAATATTCACATGCATGATGTTTTCCAGCCTGGTTCACTGCCGTAGAAAAGCCTTTTCACGCAGAAAAGTCAAGTAAGGATAACCACTCAGAGAATGGAGCTCTCAGGTCACAGTGCCACAGCGACTCACATTTCCCACAAGTTTGTAATAGATGAAATGTTTTCTTTTTAAAGGAAGACAGCAAGTTATGGTCTGATATGAAATTCCACTATTTGAGTGGTTACTATATTCAAAATGACAAATTAAGACTTCTATCTGAAAGAAAGCATGGACATGATCAAAAATCCGCAGTTGCCTCACTGTGGCACCTGGTGTTCCCACAGGTCTCCCATCACAGTATTAACCAGACCCTGCCCTGCACAGCTTCAGAAGTTTGACTTACACATGCATTTATGGACATTGCTCCTTCGCCACTCATGGACCAATGAGTCTATGCGTTTTTTTGTTGTTGGATTTCCTAACCGTAAGATTCTCTGATTTTAGGACTATATAAAAATAAATGTATCTGAATTTAAATACTTAGTTATAATGATATATGTAAAAAAAAAAAAAAAAAAAAGAAGAAGTTATGCACAGGTTCTAATTAAATAAATAAATAGCTATATCAATAACTACGAAAATACAGAAATAAATACAGAAAAACAAAGAACATATCTCCCACCTCACTAGAGTACTGGCCCATCAGTGCATCTGTGCCTTAGGACCCTGTGTATCGGCGCGCTAGCTAGCTTCCTCTGTGTGGCTCGAGGTGTTTCCAATTAAAATGCCTCCACTTAAATGTAGTAAAACCTGCCGGAGAACAGGAAATGCCTGCAGTGCGCCGCGGTGTCAGGCCGCACAAAGAGCTGTTGTGTGTCTATCGGTGACTGATAAATGTGGCCCGAACAGCTCAGAGTACAAGGCCCACAGCAGACACTCAACAAAGAGCCGCTGTTTTCTCAGCCAGCCCCCGACCACGGCTCGTAATGTGGAGCAGGTGTGGAATATCCAGTGTGTGATGTTTGGCCAATCAACACTTACGGCTGAGGATTAAATGGTCTCAGAAAGAAGCTACTAGTGATTTCTACCAGTCCGTACACTGGTCCACATGCAGTCGCTATACATACAATCTGCAAATCGAACCTGATCCCCTTCGGATCTAGCCTTAGGGCAAAGCAAGGCAACTCAACTCTCTCTCTCGGTTTGATTTATGCTGATTTTATTGTGATTCTAAAATAACATAAACTGTGGGAGACCTTCTCTTACTGCAAAACAAAGCATTTACTACAACGACCTCAGAGCAATGGCTAAAAATGTCCCCAAAATATGTCCAAGGTGTGTGTGTTCCAAGTGGGAGAAACCTCAATGTTTTTATCCATTGTAAATTATACCAGAAAATGTTTTTATTTTATCAATAATATCAATAAAGTAAACCGGATCTTAGCCTCATCTTAACAGTAGGACTCTCAAAGTTCATTTTGACAGCTCCCATTCAAAAATTCTGAAAAAGTCCCCCCTCCTCCATGTTTGTACAGCTGTTTATACACATTTTCATCTTCAGTAAATGCTAGAACTGGTTAATATAAATGAATGCTGGCTGAATCAAGTAAACACTGTGTTTCTATGGTAACTAGCACCTGGCTCCAAGACGAGATTGCTCTGAACCAGATTAGGACCCTTTCTCCCATCTCTGTGTGGAGTGAGGGACAAATGCCCACAACAATTGTAAAGCGCTTCTGTGAAAGGCGCTTTAAAAATACAAACGTACTTTCTTAGGACCAGTCTATGATCGAGATAACTTCATCAAAACGGAGAAATTTCACTTCCAAAATGAGAAGCTGTCAAATTGACTGTTCTAGCCTTAACCAAGTGCCTCTCTGACAAATCCCACTGACAGCCCCCCCCCCTTGGATTTTTCAGCAGACTATGTTATTAAATGTGTGTCAAAATGGCTGCGTACAGTAAAGATTAGGGGTTATTAAAAACATCATTTTAACAACAATGGTCCCAAAATAAGCTGACAGACAGACACGATGTGCAATTTCTTTTTGGCATTTTCACATCAGCAGTTTCTCTGTAATCAGCTAGTTTTTTTGACTGAACTTGTGAAACGACTTTAACGTAAGGAATGTCCGCATCTGAACGAGGCCTAGTGTTATTGAAAAACATTATTAAAAAAACTGGCGCTTGTGTTTTGCCTACGCAGCAGAAGTCCCAGGCTTTACTGACATTGAGCCGTCAGTGCAGAATGTAAATAAGATCGTCTCATTTACGCTTCAGGAATCTGTCCGTCAAATACACAGGCGTTCCGTTTTTTACAACATGAAAAACGTCAGTGTGGAGTTACAGCCATAAGCTCCGTACTTATGGCAATTTAAACGTCTCCGAGCGTTTGACCTATAAAACGGGGATCGATGTACCACCCAGCGTGTTTTTGTCTGCATTTCACGACGTTAATGGAAGCCAGAGGTCAAACTTTCTACTGTAGCTGCAGATGTCCGGCAGCCAGACGAGCACCGGGCTCAAAATATAGGAGTCTATTGAAGCAGCGTTTTTTTGGCTCCCTTCACGTAAGTATCAGCTTGTCCAGGTATGCGCTGGATCAAAGCCCGCCACCGCAAACATTTGTCTATTTCACTAAATGCAGTAACACTCTGAAAATCTACTTCTGCTACGTCTGGGTTGGAATTTGGCGTTGACACATTCTGGGTTGTACTTTTAAAAAGGCTGAAAAGGTAAAAGATGTGGTGTCAAATTCGCTAAAGCTGTCAGTGTCACGTTTCAGAAAAGTATTAGGTATTAAGGACCCAATGTTTCAACACGGAAAAAAATAAAAATAAATGTAATAAACAAGAATCCAAAAACAAAACTCAACTGAATGTATGATACAGGGCGGGGCCGGCAATCAACACAACAGGAAGTAAAACTCAAAAAGACACAGTATAAAGCAAAATAAAAGAGGAATTAAACTGAAAATTCCTCTCAATATAAACAAATATAACAAAAATAAATCTCTAATTATTTTTGATTTTCCTAGAGCATTTCCTTAGCATTCAATCTGCATTACCCATCCATGCATCAATTTTTCTTTCCCTTAATCCATTTCTGGGAGGCAGTCAGAGCTACACCCAATTCACAGAGCACCCTCGCTGATCCTCCTGCAGGTGGTGAGTCCACAGGAGGATGGCTGCTCTAGTCCGAGCTGCCTGGATCTTTCAGTGGGGGCTTCAGGCAAAATGGGGTTTTGCCCAAGTTTTTGCTGTGCATGATTTTGATGTTTCAGTTTTTAACTTAAGTATTTTGAGTTGGCTGGTATATGACCTGTGATATACCAATAAAGTAGCAGATTTTGACTGCCTTAAAACAAGATTTGCCAATGTGACAGAGCGAAAAGATCTTG